ACCCGCTCCATCACGTTGAACTGGAATAGTGCATAAGAATGAAGTTTGGTCTTTCCATGTTCTAGCTAATGGCGTGCCATCATCTGCATTCAGTGGTCTAGTTAATGAGTCCTCGTATTCTTCTGTGCATTCATTCACTCCATCTAAATCAGAAGCTTGAAGCATACGTGTAAAGAATATGTCACCCACTGTGGTCATCGCTTGATCGGGGAAGTTTCTGGAATCTATAGTGACCTGAAGACCTCGAAGCATTGGATTTTCTAAAACTGTTCTTTGCATTGCATTCTTCGGAAATGCTAACACAACATCTGTAACATTATGAAGAGCGTATGAGAAATCTGAGCTAATACCTTCAGGAGTGATGCAACCTCCATTTAGTGAACGAACGTCAATATGTTGAGCTGGAATCATGAATGGATCTTCCTTACTGAATAAACGTGGTATTGCTTTAACTGATTCTTCAGTTAAACCGTATCCTGGTGTAATGCATTTATCCTCTAAAACTTCCATCTTTGTGCATGAAATAATAACGTCATCAACTGTTGCGTCAGCAGATGTAGCGGCTAAGCTTGTAATTAATTTGGCAGGAAGTCCGATTTGTTGGAATTTGCGATCATATTTATAAACATGATTCATAATCTTTTCATAATTTTCATCAGTTATCTTTTCATAAACGTAATTTTGTAAATCAGCAACTCTTAACGGGTCAACCTGACAAAATACTAAAGTATCCCTGAAAACATAATATTTAAGAATGATATCACCAAATGATTTAGGATAATCATCGAACGCCTGAAATGCTAACAAATCATTTACCGGAATAATCATATCAAAAGTGACATCAACTTCTTCATTTGCTTTCTTGAAAACTTCTGAAGGGTCAATATATTTACCACATACTGAGTTATCATATTTTTGAACATTATTATATAACGAATGAACAAACTTTTTAACTTTCCTTTCTGATTTTGGTTTATATGTTGCAAATGCGAAAGATTCATGGGCGCAATCCATCTGAAGATAACCGGCATCACCTCTTTCGGTTTCTACTTCTAATTGTTTAAAGCTTTGATTTGATGATTTGTAACCAACGAATAAACGCATGCATTTAAAAGCGGCATCACATGTGAAAGCTTTATTTGAAACTAGAGTTGCTTTAACTTTGCGTTTAATATATGTGTCACCTAATTGGTTCACATCATGAGCCGGATTTGTAATTCTTAAATGAGTTTGTTATCATCAAAATATGGAGCATCAGAGTCATAGCATGAACTTTCAAGTTCTCTATAATATCTTCTACCGTCATTCTTTGCGAATATTTCATTTATCTTTTCGAATGAATGAAACACATTTCCATTAATCGGTTTAGTGTTTGGCACCAAATAGTTAGTCGTCATTTATTAATAAATAAAAAATCAAAATTAAAAGATGAAAATGAATTTTTAATTTTAATGAAATAATCAACTATGGCTGCAGGTATATTTAAGAAACTGTGGGATAAAGTAAAAAGAGGGGCGAGTAAAGTTTGGGAAACATTGAAGAAGGGGCAAATTGGATATTTAAGAATAAAGAAGCAATTAGTGACGTTGCTGAATCAATAACACCAAAAGCTGCCCCAATAAGAGAAGTTTTAAATAAAGGAGAAAAAGTTTATCAAAGACTACAACCGATACTAAGATAAAAATAATTTTAAGCCGCTAAGTGGCGAGATGATCCATAGGATCTCATATTTATTTTTCCACTATCTACCTCCTATTTTATTAAGTATTCCTTCAGCTATGCCACCAATTGCGTTACCTGCTTGTGCTCCCATCGCCGGATTACCTGCTTTAGTACCTAATACCCCACCTATGATAGTTCCTGCCGTTTTCGCTACTGGTGCCAAAAAGTTTGCAACGGGTTTAATAATATTTTTATGAACCCAACCCGCAGCTTTCTTAATTCCATCCCATAATTTTTTAAAGAATCCTGCCGCCATTTCTGATTTAATATTAATTAAAAAAATATATTTCATCACTTATATTCTAATTTTTATTTAATGATAAATGAAACCGATTTTAAAAATAAATGAAACAGAGGAGGAAGAAATAAATGAAAGTGAAAATGTTCAACAAAAAATAAACGTTGTTAAACCAATTACTGAAATAAAAATTTTTTCATCTGTTGAAGAATTTAATGACTATTATGCTAATAATTAAAAATTATTTGAAGAATTGACAACGTGTAAATTGAATAAAATGTTTAAAGTTGATGGATTCAAAATTTCAAAAATAAAAGGAGTGGTTAGTTTGAAATCTATTCCTCAATCAAGAATCACCTCATTAATGAAAATAGATGATTTAACAAAAAGAATAGAAGAGATTGAAGAAAGAATGAATCAAATAATTGATTTCATAAATTCAAATAATCATTAGTTTCTTAAAGTTCAATGTTGAACTCATCAATTTCTTCTTCTCGTTTATGAGGTCTTTGATTATGACTCCATTGATTCCATGAAATTAAATATTCTTTATCATTATATTTATACCTCATTAGCTTATTTTGGCTTTCATATTCATTTAATAATTCACAATCTTCATTTTTAAATTGAAGTTTAACCCATTCAGGATTTAAACAATGTTTAATTAATCGCGGAATATCTGACATCATCTATATATAGCTTCTTTTATAAAAGATAAAAAATTAAATTATTTTAAAATGTAAGACATGAATTTTTAAATTATGATTTATTTCAAAACGTAAGAATAAAAAGCGTAAGAATCATACATTTATTTTATCGATTGTATGAAAATTACTTACAAAATCGGTCAATATTGTGTGAATTCTTACGATTACAAAAAAGTCACTAAACCCTTCATACCCTACTACTAATCGAATTTTGTAAAATTCGATTCCAAAAATTTTGAAGTGAAAAAAGGATTCTAATTTTCATGAATGTTAAGGGTGCACTTACCACTTTCTGACACTCTCTCAAAAAGAGTTATACGGGCTTGAAGAGGCATAGCAAATAAAACCTTAAACAAGAAATTTGAGAGAATGTCAGAAAGTGGTAAGTGCACCCTTAAAAGTTCTGAAAATTTGAATGCTTGCAAATGATTTCTTGCCTACAGCAGAGTCTCCAAGCAGAACAAGCTTGACATCTGGCTTGGCATATTTTCTGGTTGGGAAGAGTTCTGTATTTTCTTGGATCATTAAAATTTCAAACGAACATCATTGAAAAGAACTTCTTACATGGCCAAATAATTTCGATGTAATATAACGGAATGTATCCTTGTAAACAATATTTCTACAATAGAAATTGATCAATTATCAATTTTTCAAATCTTTTCATTTCGTTTTTTTCCGAGTTCAATCTTTATCCATGAACCAATAGTTGCTATTACATGAAATAATTTGATACTTCTTGAATTAGAGTTCTAATTATAACTTATGAAAAAAAATTCATAAAAAATATTCATAAAAAAACACTAATATATTTAACAGAACATATAATATGCACAATTGAGAAAATATAATAATATTGCGCATTATGGTTTCCATGGATTTCTTTGACTTAGTGGAGATCTTACACTACTTTATCCTTCATAGTCAGAAAGCCTAAATCTTGAAGCATCATCAAGTAACAATTTTGATTTCAATAATTCTATATTTCTCTTCTTATTTTCTATATCCTTCTTCGCATGTGCATTTAATTCATCTAATTTTGAAGCCCATTTTGCACTTAATGCAAGAAGTTCCTTTTTCTGAGCATCTCTCAATGTCTTTAAGTTTCTTCTGAATTGGTCATTAAAATTATCTCTTTGTCTATCAATATCACGCTTTTCGAGCCTATCCGCTCTATTCTTATATTCTATAGCATCATCATATCTGTTCATATATATTAAGTGCCTTTCTTGGTCTCGAATTTCAAGAACTCTTTTTGATACTTTTCTGAATGGCGCTGGTAATGTTTTAGGCCACGTTTCTTTAAAGTCAGAGATCTGCTGTTCATGTATTTCTTTTAATTCTTTTTCTGCGTCAGCTTTAAATTGAAGCATTAATTTTCTTTGTTCATCGTAATAATCTATAGTATCTTGAAGATCATCCTCGAAATCAGCAATCTTGCGCTCGATATTTAAGTAATTTCCAGAATTTGATATTTTTTGAGGAGATTGATATAATTGAACTTTAATATCATGAATAATATTGTAAATCTTTTGTGCTTGATGATAATCTCTAGCGGAAACAGCTCTATTTTTATCTACTTCTAATACAGAAATGATATCTTGTAATGAAGTGGGTGTTGGAATATGAGACATATCATATTCAGATGTTTCTTTAAGTTGTGAAGTATTTTCTTTAGGCTTTTGCTTCTTTTTGATTGGTCTTGAAGATCGTGAAGAATTTGATGAACGTTGAGATCGAACTGAGCGAGGGCTATCATGATAATTTGGTGATGTAATGTTATTAATCTCTTTAACAATGTTTTGAATACGAATTACTGTTTGAGTTCTGCCAGAAGCCATCGCAATTTCTTTTTCGCTTGCAAGAGGTTCAAAAAGGTACTCCAAATATTGTGTAGGAACTCTTGATAAAGACATACCATCAATCAAATTTGAAACAATTAGGAGTGCGGGACAAATTTGCCAAGTGTCACTTTTCAATAACCTTAAATTACACTTTTCTCATTTTTTAAAAAATAACCTTAAATTATATTTGAAGAAATTATGTCTATGATATATGTTTTATGCTAGAATCTTGGAGTTTTCATGCACTACACAAGAGCTCCAAGGTTCCAAGAGTGAATGCTCAATAGCAATTATAGAGATGTACCTTTTCAAAATGACTTTTACTGATTAAATTTAATCAATAGAAGACATTTTGAAAAGGTACCTCTACAATTAGATATACAAGAGATTCAAAGCTTCATTTCAGATAGATTTGAAACTTTGAAACTCTTGGTAGATTTTGAGTGAATGCTGACAATCATCTTTGAGAAGGTTTTCTTTAAGAAAACCTTCTCAAAGAGGTTTCTCAGGAGCCCTGAGGCTCCCTTTCGTAATAATTGGGAGCCTTGGGCTCCTGAGACGAAGAATGGCTTCGCCGAATCTTTGATCAGCAGAGGCCAAATGAAAAGGCCTCTGCTGATGGATTCTCGGGAGCCCTGAGGCTCCCTTTCGTAATGATTGGGAGCCTTGGGGCTCCTGCAGCAGAGTATCGCTCCGCTCCATTAATTTTTTTTAAAAAAAGTGCCTTGTGGCAAATTTGTCCTGTTCCCAACAATTAGAGATAAGTAATCTTTGTCGATTGCTTCCCCATGAAACAAATTGATTTGTGGTTCCGATATAATATCTGTTTTGTATATTAATATATATGTTGAACACATATTCATCCATTCCAGATTGTTGATTTTTTGCAGAAAAAATATTTCATGTTAGAATATGAACTTTGGCACATGCAGAAATTATTATTTATTAAAATTACATATATGCACTATTGTCAAATTTCCATAATCTGAATAATTTTTTCAAATAATACAATAATTCAACACGAGAGGGTTTGCTTAAGATGCAAAATATCTTTCTCACTACAGTTTTATTAAACTCACATATATGGCTTCATTCGATTACACTTTTTCTTGTGAAATATATGGTAGGTCAATTTATTTTATCAACACATGGACATTATACATGGACAAGACTACTCATTCAAACGATGAATCATAAACAGGTAATGTGAGTTTTATGAGATACATTCTTTTATAATTTTGCTATTCACAATCCTAGATCCGATTATCACCGAGTTATGTAGTATTAATATTTACATAGTAAAATCTTATAATACGGATTTATCATAATTATTTACAAATTTCTGAAAATTAGGATATTTATTAAAAGAAATGATATACAAGATGAAAACACATTTATTCTTACATTGGCCTGATTTACAAAATCTCAATAAAATAATGATTAATGAATTTATTTCAAAAATTGTATTTTGGTGAAGATAAATATTAGATATAGCAATATTTAGCTCTGAATTAGATATTCTTATTTATATAATAATATTTGACACATAATATGACGTTACTTTCTATAACGACCACCGCCACCTATCAAAAATGAGAGTTGGCTTTGGCTTCGTTTTCATTGGTAATATTATTTGTAACCTAATTTATATAATAGCGTTTCAACTGAGAATTCATGCTTCAAGTTATTTTTAGAAATTGAAATAGAGAGATTTTCTAGGTATTTAGCTGTTTGTAAGTCTGCATGTTCTTTTACTTCTGGAGATGAATTATATAGAGGAAGTTGAATGCGATGGCTTTTGGATTCTTGAATTGGACTCCATTTAAGGTGGCACTTTTCCTGCTTTTTTATTCAAAACCAATCAAAAAAATTGGGTCGGGTTGATTGAGAATTTTGGTTTAATAGTTATTGAAATAATACATATATCCGATAACAATAAAAATGATATTAAAAACATAAGAAACAAAGAAATGTCAAATTTCGTTCTTTGATTTTTCTTTAATTTTGACTTCAATTAGGATTGATAATGATTTAATAGATAATATAATTGAATACCATCATTGTCTGAATTTTATAATTATAATTTATGATATTCCAGTTAAGTAACTCGAACATAATAAATTTTAAAATTCCATGAACGTTAAAAGTTTTGAATTTTTTTTTGTTTACTATTGAACATCAGAATTATTTGATTTGAATGATGCTTTGAAATTTAAATAAATTTCAATAAATGACAAGTTTTTTATTCTCTAGCGAATTTCTCTTAATTTAATTTATGGCAGTCCCAACGGGAACCGCGGTAATTTACCGAGGTTTCCGCACACCGGTTCCTTTTTTTAGGAATTTTTTAGATTAAAAAATATGCTTTGTAAATCATTTTTTGTAAATCGGCAAAAATTTGGAAATATTCTGACGACAATAAATCTGGGAATAGTATTTTAAATACGAGAACAACCTATTTAAAAGTGTTTCGCTCGATTTTGTATAATTTCAAATTTTCGCATATAGCTTTCCGTGAATTACCGTGATTTTACCGCCACATCAATAGTTTACGACACTTTTTCCGTAAGTTGAGTAGTTTACTGCACTTTTTCCGTAAAATTGAGTTAGGGAATCCGTAAGATTACCGTACCTCACTTCTAGTTGAAAATAGCATTAGTATATAATAAAGAGATATATTATTCATATTTTTGATTTTGAATTACGGCAAAAGTGAGTTCAGAACTTCCAATTATTATTTGATTAATTATGTTAAAAATACTATAAGGAATTAAAATACATAATGTTGAAATTTGAATTACGGAAAAAGTGAGGGTGAAAGTGAAGTGAAAAAGTAAGATATTTTTTGTTGAAATAATCATAGTTGTACAATTTTGAAACTATATGTAAAGCTATAAATTGAATAAATTCAAAAACAAAAATTGTTTATTCTTATTCATAAATTTATATTAAGGGTGCACACGAGAGGATCATGTAAACTTCAGAATTTAGAACCTTATTTTAGGCATTATCTTGGCTACCTATTTAGGCTCGAAAAGCAAAAAATATCAAAAAATACAACTTGACTCCATTATGACCCTTTCATGGAGGTAGTTTTTATCCGCTAGTATTTTCCCTTTGAATCTCTTTACAATTCGAAATCAAATTCAAAACTCAGTAGAAGAAAGGAAGAATCGACTTACTACGGTTGTAATACGAATAAATACATATATTTAATTATTTTTATTTACATAATAATTGTTTGAAGCTCATATTCCATCAAATTTTTAAATAAAAACATTAAAATGTTGAAAATGTTCATATATTTTAATAGGGTTTTGGCACTTTATTGAGGAATTACTACATACATAGTCGAACTGAACTTGATATTTTGAAATTTAAATTATTTATCAAAATTAAAATTTAACTTGAAATTTATAATTATTTAGTCATATTTTGCATAATTCTAAGTAGATTTTGTAAAAAATCAAGAAAGAAAAATTTTAACGTGCTTTATTTTTTCTTTTTTATAAGGTCGCCAAAAAAAGTGCGGAAATTAAAAACCGCAGTTTGAGTACTTTCTGAGAGTCTGTTCGTCAGAAAGTATACATTTGTAAACTTTCTGACACTAAAAAAATTTTTGTCCTTTCAAAGTTTTTGACAATGTCAAAAAGTATACATCGAGGTTCTCAATTTTCCTCTCAAACGTCGGTTTTTTAAAAACACTCAATTTTTCATCGACCTTAATAATACATATTATTATATAATTAACATATTCATAATGTTTCACCCTTTCAAAAATATAATCCTCCTCCTCTCAAATAAACGTACATACAGGTGGCCTCTTTTTTCAAAAAATTAAAATTTGAAATTTTGGGCTCAAATATTAGAGATTTTTTCAACCTTCAACGATATATGTTGTCTATATCAGACCTCCTTTCTTTTTGATACTTAACATTGTTCCTAAATCTTAGCCGTTAAGGCTGTTCTGAAAATATTTTTTTTTTCGAAAAAATTCGAAAAAAATTCTTAAAATTCAAAAATCCCTTAATTCCTGAGGATTTTGGAAAAAAGTTTTTACATGAACATGTGTATATTATATGAAGTATATTGATAAGGTAAAAATCAAATTTTATTGCATATTCATCGAGAAAATAAACTAACGAATCCCTCAAAATTGAGAGGGTAATCCTCCTCCTCTCAAATAAACGTACATACGGGTGCACCCTTAAGGGACTATGATTGCTATCTCAAAAATATGCAAGTCCTCAATCAATTTTTTGTCACGGTAACTATATTTATAATTTTTAATTGTTTATTCGTAAAGAAAGTTTGTGAATGAACACCTTTGTGATAACATCGATGCCGTTATAATTACAATATTCAACATTTCAGATTTGACAAATTTATCAGAAATTTTTAACCCTCAAAAATCCGATTTCATTCTGATCATACTGAGTTAGATCTTCATTGAAAATGATAGCACACAACTTTTATTTATAAATATCTACTAAATCATGAGTTTTTTTGAACAATTGATATCGAAATTTTAAACCAAATGAAAGATTTTGAACAACTCCTCCTGAAAACGTAATGCCATTATATTTTAAAATTAAATATCTATGAAAGGCTACCAAATGTCAGCAATAAAAAATTTCATCTTTGAATCTAATCGATTTCTAGCAAATATCATATAACAACTTATCCATATGGAAATAGGGAATTTAGTTTCTTGGTCAGAATAAAAAATTTCATCTTTGTTCTTCTTGAACAATTGAAATCGATAAAAAAATATTGGAAAAACTACAACAAAAGCATAACCAAGAATATATAAATATCAAAGAATTCTGTTGGATATATCCGAAAGTTTCAGTAATCCATTTTGGTCTGAAATCAAATTAAATTACTTTTATCAGGATATTTATAGTATTTTAGAATAAAATCGTATGAAAATAGTGAATTTAATCTAATTAATTATATTGTAAATGATGTTCACCAATTCGAAATTTATAAATCTGACGATGAAAGTTTCGTTTTTTATGCCGTAACGTGCTATGGATGTAGTATGATAGATTGCATGATTTTAATTGCAATCGGTTAATAATTATAAAATTCAGCCTTAATTCAGTTCTCAAATTTTAATTTGAAGGATATAAAAACGAATGAAATCGGCGGATAAATAAATTAAAAATCTTAGAGAGAATATATTATTTGTAATTTCAAAATTCAGAAAATTTAGAATGAAGTAGTAGGATATGACGGGTTTAGTGACTTTTTTTGTTACATCTATATATAGACGATGCATTAAAATATATTTATATACTAAACACATTAAAAAATTAACATTAATTTTAAAATAATTTATTTATTTATCTTTTATAAAAGAAGCTATATATAGATGATGTCAGATATTCCGCGATTAATTAAACATTGTTTAAATCCTGAATGGAATCAATGGAGTCATAATCAAAGACCTCATAAACGAGAAGAAGAAATTAGAAATAATTATTTTCATGAATGAAAGATTCACTACCATAATGAAATAAAAAATAAAAAAAATTTTAAAAAATAAACTTTAAAAATTCATGTCTTACATTTTTGAATAATTTATTTTTTAATTCGTAAGAAATGAGCGTCAAAACTAACGACGTGAAAACATTAGGATTCACAAACGAGGAAATAAAGGATATATTAGATGAGATGTGTTATGAAGTTAGTAAATA